TGAAGCAACATCCTCCACAACTAGACTGAAGAACAAAACGACAGCAACTTGTCTGTTCCCCTTCCCCCAATTCCCCAACACTGTTCCCAACCCCCCAATTCCCCAATAAAAATCTTTAAAAAAAATAAATAAATAAAATAAATAAATAAGTGGGACCTCATCAAGCTAAAAAGCTTCTGCACATCCAATAAAACCATCGACAAAATAAAAACACAACCTATCAAATAAGAGAAAAGATTTGCAAATCATATATCAGATAAGGGTTTCACATACAAAATATATAAAAAACTCATACAACTCAATAGAAACAAAAACAAGCCGATGAAAAAATGGACAGAGAATATGAACAGAGATTTTTCCAAGGACAACATACAGATGGCCAACAGGTACATGAAAAGGTGCTCGAAATCACTGATAACCAGGGAAATGTAAATCCAAATCACCATGAGATATCACCACACACCTGACAGAATGCCTACTACCAAAAAGACAAAAAAAATAACAATTGTTGGCGAGGATGTGGAGAAAAGAGAACGCTTGTGCACTGTTGGTGGGAATGTAAATAGGTGCAGCCACTGTGGAAAACAGTATGGGGGTTCCTCAAAAAATTAACAATAGAATTACTATATGATTCCGTAATTTACTTCTGGGTATTTATCCAAAGAAAACAGAAAATATGAACTTGAAAAGATATATGTACCCCATGTTCTGTGCAGCATTATTTGTAATAGACAAGATATGGAAGCAACCTAAGTATCCATCAATACATGAATGGATAACAAAAATGTGAAATATATACACAGACACACACACACACATACACACACTTATATATACACACATATATATACACACACATATATGTCTACATACATACAAAAGGGAATATTATTCAGCCACGAAAAGGAAATCTTGTCATTTGCAACAACATGGATGGACCCTGAGGTCCACTATGAGGGCATTATGCTAAGTGAATTAAGTCAGGCAAAGACAAATACCATATGATCACCCTTTCGTGTGGAAATCGAAAAACAACCAAAGACATAGACACAGAGAACAGATTGGTAGTTGCTAGAGGTGGAGGATGAATATTGGGTGAAATGGGTGAAGTGGGTCAAAAGGTACAAACTTATCAAATAAATAAGTATGGGGATTTAATGTGCAGCATGTTAATTATAGTTAATATGATGGTATTGTTTATTTGAAAGTTGCTAAGAGAGATCTTAAAAGTTCTCATCACACAAAAACAGTGTGACTATAGTGATGGATATTAGCTAGACGTATTGTGGTGATCATTTTGCAATATATTCAAACATCAAAGCGTTATGTTGTACACCTGAAACTAGTATAATGTCATATGTCAATTATACATCAATTTTTTCTAAAAGGGTGCATCTGAAAAATGATTTTGCCATTTCAGCTTGGTTCCATGCTTCACTGGACCTTTTAATCTTTAGATGCCCCCCTGTTGGGTTCATACACTGAAAGGTATATTCTTGACCTTGTTGGAGACAAATGAGATTCTATATTAAACTTACTTTTTTTTTTTTTGGTCAGCTAACTTTTAAGGTTCAAATAGACCAAACTTTCTCATCCCAAGGAGTGTTAGTTTCATTGAAGTTGAGAATTAAGAGTGCCCGCCACGGTGGGCAAAAAAAGCAGAGCTGGAACACTGTAGCATGAACAACCTTGAAAAAGACAATGCTAACACATGAGTAGCTGGAAGCGGCAACATCTCAGTTCCTTTCTGTTAATTATCTCATCCATTTATTCTCCTTGTCATTCAATAAATAATATTTTTCTCATCCTTTTTTCAAAATCTTAGAACAATAAGAGATGTGCTCTCATAACTTCATCTAGTAGGAGAAAAAAATTAAGGACGTATGCACTACTAACTAGTCAACAAAAGATTCAGCTGACATTTATTAAGCTCCAACAATAGGCTAGGAATTGGGCAAATAAAATTCTATGGCCGTGAGTTTCAAATTTAATTCTGCTTCCTATTTAAACTGAATCAAAAGACTATTGTTTTGCTTATACACATAACAATTCATTTAATTCCCATATCAATCTATCAGTCTCACTGTCCCTAATCCTGGCTCACCAAAAGCATCACTTCTGCTCCCTTGCAGCCACACAGCAACATGCACGTCCATGGAGAACTCAGCAGGAAGACATTTTGGCATCATCAATGTATAAGTACAATAGATGGTTGATGCAGCCACGAAGTGCCAGGCGATTGCTCAAGCAGAATACAGATCATGAAGCAAGAGCAAGAGACCTTGCTGACCATGAACACCCAAGGGGATGATCAGAGAAGCAGAGGGACCAGAAGAGACAGGTGTCACCAAATTAATAGCAGAAAAAGGTTTGAAGCAGAAAGTAATAGTCAATAACATCTAGGGCTGTCAAGTAGAATGAGAAGTGATGAGTCATTAGGATGTGACTCTTAAGAGGTCCCCTGGTATTTTTAGAAAGCTATTTCTGTAGAGTTGGGGTGGTAAACATGACAGGGACACATGAATAAAATGGACTATGATGGCGCAAATGAATGCAGGTAGTTCTCCTAAGAGGATTGATCAGGAAGGAATGGGGCATGGGAGGGTAGTCTCACAGGGCTGCAGGTGGACCCAGGCTTGGAGGTTGCAGCTGTGGCATCTGTTGTTGAACGTGGGTTGAGTTGAGCACTTTTGTAAGTTGCGGTGGGAGTGGCTTTCAGAGAGGGAGAGGAGATATTGAGATTCAAGACTCAAGAAATAGAAGGGTGGTCTGAGGAGGGAAGGTCCTAGGGTGGTGATACAAGGGGCCAGAACCAGGCAGGAGGGCACGTCCTAGATGGGAGGGAAACCCCGCTTACAAAGGAAAAGCACACCAGGCTCAATGCTGCCTCTCCCAGGGAGGCCTCCATCCAGACCCTGCTCACCTGCTGCCATTCCCCTCCCTCACCATGGCAGGGCCACGTGCAGAGTGGGTGCACAGCGATTATCTGTGGCATGAAGGACAGCGAGCCCGTGTCTCGCATGGCTCAGAAACGGGCTCTGCCTTGAACGCTGAGTGTTGATCAGCTCCACGCTGGCTTGGGCAGCAGGTGCTCAGCCCCTGTGATGTCTGCCACCCCCTTTGATTCTCCTTCCCTGCCGCTCTCCTTCTCACTTAACCCCCAATGCTCTTATTTATGTGCACTTCTCTTCCTGAGGACAGAGTCACTGGGTCATTCTGTAATATGCTGGGGAAAGCCAGAGCCCTTTATGAAAAGGCCGGCAGAGCCTTTCTTCTTCATGGCAGGAAGCCTGAGCAGTGCTCAGCCCAGCAGTGGGAAGGGCTGGCTCACCTTCCTCCTTCCCTCCCCCCCGAGGGGACACTCCCCCGGAAGCACTATTGGTGCAGTGTCCAGCCCTGAAGTGGGGCAGGCGTCTGCAAAGAAGTCAGCAGCCACCGGCTCTGCAGGACGTGGGAAGAAATCAAACTCGGTAGAAAGATGGTGGGCAGGTGACACTCTGCGGCCTCCCCTCCCCGCAGCTGGGGCTGATGGACCCCACCGGGAGGCTTCGCCAGGCCCATGGAAGAGCTGGCCTCTCACAGAGGGCTGACCTCCGACGTGTCCAATCTCGGCCCCTGACCCCGAGCCTCCTCCTGAGAGCTCAGATCCTGCCTCATTCTCCTCTACGCCCCAGACAGGCTGTGATAGCTGCTCCTAGAGATCAAGCTCTCTGTCTCCGCACCATCACTGTCCCCTCTGTAGGAAAGGCACTGCTCTCCTGCACACCAGCCTGGCTCATGAGTTCGCCGCCTGGGCCTCCCCCTTCTACCCCCCATCACATCACACACAGCTGTCGCCTCTTGTATTTGCCTTACCCTGCAGCCTGCAGGCCACGGCGGAGACCGCTCACCTGGGCACCGCCACCCAGCATCCACGGACTAGGCTTTCTGATTCCACGCTGGGCTCAGCTTCCTGCCTCATGAAATGGGTACGATGACAGCACCCACTTTCCAGGATGGTGCTGAGGCTTCAGTGAGAGAGAGGGAGAGAGGTAGAGCGACCCTCAGGCAGCTGGCCATCATCAGTGTGGTCTCTGGACTTTGAAAGCACCTTGGCAGCCATCCTGCCCGCGGCTCCTGCTTCAATTCCAGCAGCATACACAATGTGCTCCCTATGACGTCGCCCCAGAGGAAACAGGCAGACACATGTAGGTTTGAGACCAGACAGCCCTCAGTTTGAATCTAGACTCCAGCACTGAGATCGGTGTAACTGAGAGCAAAGCTATTAACCCCCGGGAGCCTCAGCCTGTTCATCTACAAAGCTCCCCAGTAGGTGCTGTGGGATAATGAAATGAGATGAGTGGGAACGCACCTGTATTCCAAGGCCCTGAATGGAAGTCTGCACTCCTGTGGAGTCCTCTCTCAGGGGAAAAAGCAGGCAGGATCACCCAGCTTTGATCCAGACCACCCGGGGATTTCTCGCAGAAAAGCCCCGCGTTCTTTCCCCAAAGGAAACTGTGAGCTGCCAGCGGTCGGTCGTGCGGTCCTGGGTCCCGGGGCTGTGTTTGAAGTAATCAACAACCAACCCTTACCTGCTCACTGAATCTGACATGTGGGCTTGCATCTGAGAAGCTGCATGTGTTCCTCCAAATTAAACAGGCACCTGGGGAGAGAATAACTTTTGTCAGGATGTGGGGTCCAGAACTGCCCTCCTGTTTTCCTACCATGGTTATTTACAATAATCATTTTTCGCCCAATGTCACTTGTCGGCTGCTAACTGCCTCCTATTAAAAAAGGACTGGAAGGAGCAGGAGAAGAGGCCTCTGCCAGCACCTGCCCACTGAGCCAGCAAGGTGCCAGGAGGTTTCAAGGAGCAGAAGGCCAGGGCTTCATTCCCAGCTTACTAGTTTGGGACCCTGTGCAAGTAACTACCTCTCTGAGCCTCGGTTGCCTCATCTGTAAAATGGGTATTATAACATGGCCCGAGGATGCAATATGGCCAAATGAAGGCATGGTGCTGACGTGCTGTGCTGCACTATAGTCAGCTGGAGTTGAACAAGCAAGGCATGAGGGCTGGGGTGTTCTGCAATGGAAAGAAAGGAAAAGCAATGGCAGTATAAAGCACCCATTAGGTGCTACTATTGCATAGACTTTTGTATTTCACCCTCAAAACAAGCCAAGAAAATGGGTGCGTTATTCCCATTCTAAGGGAGATGAAAGCCTCGCAGAAGTTGTAACGGGCTGAAATCTGCATCAACGGCAAAGAATGTTCAGCCACGTGTGCCTGCCTCCTAAGCGCCCTATCATGCCAGGATGCCTAGGGAGCTGCAGGGGCATTAGAAGTTCCCAGTGGCCTGGGCTGCTGCCTGGACAACATTCTAAGGGGGTGACAGGAAGTGAGGAAATTGGACTGACTCACTGCGTAGGAAGACCTCCCTCCGGGACGACCCCTGAAGCTGCCTGAGCTGGCACCCCATCCCTCAGAGCAGAGGGCCTTCCTCTGGCCCTCCATCACCAGACCAAGGGAGGGGAAGGCGCCCAGAGGTGAGGCAGACTCAGCTGGGTCTGCCATAACCACCCAGATCAAAGGAGCTGCAGCCGCCAGCCCTGCTGACCTCCAGAGCCACGCCCAGTCTCCACTCCTTCCTGCATATATATCCCCAGGCCTGGAACACCCCTGCCTGCCCTTGGCCTGGCCAGCTCCCACCGGAAGTTTCATGTCTCTGTGTAAAACGCACTTCCTCGAGGACCCCTCCTAGAATCTCCAATACGGGTGGGAAACTCTGTCCTGGGATCCCACAGTGTCCTGCGTTCTTCCCCTCCTGGGACTCAGCCACACACCTGCCCTCTGACTGGCTGCCTTCCACCCAGACGATATGCACCGAGAGGGCAAGGACTGTGCCTGTTTCACTGCCGTTACAGACAGCTGCAAACCCTGCCACACAGAGCGGGTATATTATCATCACTAAGGATAGCATCGCAAAGTGAGACACCACAGGTGAAATTCTGCGTACACCGCAGAGTGATGTACACGTGGGCAGGAAGGTGATGACCGATGTGGGCTAGCTAACGTCTTCACAGCGCGCTGGGCTCAGGGCTGCCCATGGAAATGCGTCTGAGTTGGCTCACTCGTGTGTTCATCCATTCAGCATGCATTTCTGGTGCCAGGTAATACTGGTGCCAGAAGATCCAAAAGTTGGCAAGACCAAAGACAATGGCAGCACTGGGCATGTGATGCATAAATGCCACGATGCATGGCAGGGGCTGGGCTGGAGGTGAAGGCAGGGGGTGGATAATTCCACCTGGAACCAGCAGCAAAGGCCTATCTGGCATAAAAGGAGAAGGCAGGACCGGCTGAGCCGTGGCGGGCCATGACAGACCCAGGACAGAGGTGCAGTCAGGAGAGTTAAAATCATGGCGCTGTGGGATAGTTTACAAAATCCCTGCGAACACCGACATGCTGACCACGGAGTGTGAGCACAGGACGAGGACTCAAGCCTTCAGCCCTGGCCCTACTTCCTTCTTGAGTGGGTGTCTAGGCTGGGTCACAGGGTCGCCTCTGCCCAGTGTTTAAGTCTGAGTCCTGCTGAGAGTCAATGGCACTGACAGTTACTGAGACACTCTGGGCTGCAGCTCTCAGCTTCCACACGTGGTTGAAACATGACAAATCGAGGCCTTGGCTGGGAAAGGGGTTGCTTTGGGGGACCTGTCCAGCCTGGGATTGTCTTCATCACATCACATCACATCTCCTCCTTAAAATGCCCTTCCTTCTTAGAACTCAGGTATGATTAGAAAAATGATCAGGCTCTGAACTAAAAATACCAATACTTTATGTTCTTCCACAGGGGGATAAAGAAGACAAGAGAATCTATGAAAGTAACAAGGAATTTCATCCTTCAGTGGACATCAAAATGGATATTTTAGACTCAGCCATCCATAAACACTGGGTAATATCATACTCTTATAGGACAGAATGAATTCCACATAACGAGCCACAGATCTGCATTAGGCCAGCGAGAGGGGCTCTCTGAGAGCATTTAAACCTCTAAGGGATGGCTGGCCTCCTCCAGGCCCAGGTAAACAGATTGCCCAGTCCAGGGCCAAACAACCAGACCTGGGCAACGTGCTACTGGGGTGTGCAGAGAGAACTCAAGCCCTGAGCTCAGGCAGCTTCGAGTCAGCTGGGGGTGGGAGGCAGGGAGTCCTGGAGCCAAAACCCTGCTCGCATCAGCCCCCTGCCTGTGACCTGTCTTGGATCCTAGTACCTGAACAGCTTATAAGTCCCTGAGTGATTTGGCCCCATTCTGGGCCAGCACATTATCTCCTCCACTCCCCTTGCAGCCTCACCCTGGACTCAAGCTGAAGGGGTCCCGGCCATCTGTTCCTCTGTCCTTCTCCATCCTCTGCAAGTGCTGGGATTCTGCACTCACTTCCCATGGCCTGGCTCAGCCCTCCCCCAGGCCTGCAGCTCCCCGCTTAAACAGCACACTCCCCAGAAGCCCCCCGGATTCCAGGGTGGATTAGCTGCTTCTTTTGCAGTGACTTGTTGGTTCCAGGTAGTAAATGCCAAGCCTGTTACATGCTCAATGCCACCTCTCTCTGCATCCCCTTCCCGACTCAGGCTTCCTTCCCATCTTGCTGCATTGACCAAGCATACATACACACACATATACATACACATACATATAACACACACACACACACACACACACACACACACACACACACTTCCTGACACAGCAATGCGTCCCTCTTCCCTGAGCCTGCCAAGACCCTTCTCACAATTGAGCCACCATACGTGCAGTTTCCACAAGGACTTGACTGTCTTTGTCAAACCAAACTAAAATCTCAGAATCACCTCCTCATGCTTCCAGGATCAGCTCGAATGTCCCCTCCTCTCTGAAGCCCCCCTGACCAGGACCTGCAGGACTGTCCTCTCACACCTGTGCCCCTCAGCCCCTGGTGCTCCCAATCCCCTGGGCCTCCCAGCCACAGTTTGTCCACACACATGTCCAGATGGAAAATGAGCATCTATCTCAGCTGAGTCCAGAGTGTAACGTCTGGGTCTAAGCCACCGTTAATGTCCCCGGCATCTGCACGGCTCCTGACACACAGGAAACCTACCTAAAGGGGCTTCCTTCCCTCGTTTTATGAGCTAATAACCTGGGTCACAAGAGGAAGGGGCTCGCTGAGACAAAAGGGGCCACAGCCTCTACGCCCACCCCTCCACTCTAGTTCAGGAGCGCATGTCTGCGATCACCAGAGAGCAAGGCAAACTCCACCCCAGGGAGGCTGAGCCCATGTGCAACCAGCTCCGTCCATTTCAGACTCGGGAAAAGCAGGCATGGTGTGCGTAACCAAAGCCAGCATCATGGAGGATTCCACCCAGTTCCACGCACAGTGCCTTACACTCCTATCTCCGTTAGTGCTTACAGCAACCTGAGGAGCTAAGCTCAACTATCACAGTCATATTGAATGGGAAACCAAGACAGTGAGTGTTTCTGAGTCTCTCCCGGCCAGTCACATGGCTATCTAGCGGTCAAGCTGCCCTTCGGGGGTTAAGCTCCAGTGGCCTGGGTCCAGAGCCAGACCCCAGCACTGCCGTGCTCTCCCACATCTCTGCATTTGGGTTTCTTCAGCACCGTCTTGGGTTCTGCTTGGCGTGTGGAGAGGCTGCACCGCTAGCACACATTTAGATCAACTTGTCAACGGCAGGCTTGCTCACAGCAGATCTTTTTCATCCCTCCTCCTCTGACTCATGAGGCTGACAGAGTGGAATATTAGATGTCCAAAGGTGTCTTTCATTAGAAAACTATATTCTTTTGATCAGCCTCTGTCTTCCCAAAGTTGCAAAGGCTGAAGATCAAGTTGCCAACCGGAATTCCATTCATCACGAAGATAAACATCAGCCATGTCCCTCCCCCACTGCTGCCTTCAAAGAGCACATGTCAGCTGGTAGGCAGCTGGTGGTAGGACTGGGAGACCCGGGACCGGGAGGCTTGGGCTGGAATCCAACCTCTGCCACTACCTGTGGGCAAGTCACTTCTCTCTTAGCTGTTATTTCTCCATCAACACAGCAAGCATGGACCTCTGTAAACTGCTAAATGACTGAATAAATGCAGCGATCAGTGAATGACTTATATAATATACCAGCCATCTTCCTGCTGTAAGATATTGTGGCTCTAACGCATGTCTCTAAAGCACAGCCCAGCTTGGTGACTGGCCCAGTGGAATCCAGGTGATTTGAGGTAGGACCAGCATGTCTAAGTGTCACGTTATATACACAGTCTCTTCGCCTGAGAAGATGAGTTAAAGCAACAAGGCTCTAAGCTAGAGCCGAGGCATGATGTGAAGTTTGGGGATGCTGGACCTCTCCTTTTCTGTTCCCCTATAAACCCAGCGGCCCATACAGGCAGCCAGCATGGGGCATGGGCTGCCCAGATGTAGGGGCTGCCGACCTCTCAAAGTCTCTCCTGGCTCCAGGCCCTCTGGTTCAGTAATAGTCCCTGCGAATAATAGATCTGGTCCCTGACACTGTGCATGATAAAGTGACCTGGTACAAAGTCGTATTAAGATCAATCATATTTAAGTTTAGGAAATTATATGTTTGAATCCTGTAATTTAATGTCACTGTGACACCTAAGAGGAAAGAGAGGGAACTCG